AAACTATGGCCACCGCCCTATCCTCCGCTGATCCGTCGGCTGATCGAGCTGATCAGTCAGTCTGGAGTTTTGCCGAGCTCGTGAGCAGATCGGTCTCTCCCGTAATCAGAGGGGAGTTTCCAGCGTCGCCGCGAGCGACTTGATGATGGACTCTACATGATAGAGGGCTCCACTGGCTCAAGGGAAGCATCGCGAGACGCGAGCCTCTTCATTCAACGACGAGTAGATCTTGCGGAAAGTGGAAGTGCAGTAGTGCCTACAATAAGGCTACAGACACGATGGCTTAGGCGTGATTCAACGCGATAGTCGTTCGCTGTTGGTTCCAAAGGAAAGAGGATGGTTGGATATCTTTGGTACGAAATGCGAAAGCTTTCAGCATCCTACATGGCAGGGAAATTGTGGATAAAACCCTATTCCTCCGCTTGGTTGGAAGTCAGAATCTAGTGGCGTAATTCTGGCTCATTTTATGCTCTGGTTGGCTTTGCCATCCAGGAATTTGTACATATATTGTTTGATAAAAGGTTAGCTACGAAGAGTGATCTGTTATGTAATTGAAACTACCCAGTGGCAGTTATATAGCACCCATGGCTGTTCACGAAAACATGGAACTGTCTAGGGACTTGTAATTCCAATTCCGAAAATCCATCAGAACACCCCGGTACAGCCACCCCGGATTTCAACACTACTACATCTTCTTCACTATTTCCTTGGCTATCAAGCTCGCTACCACTTTAGAGCTTCCGGCAACGGTTAGTAAGACGGAGCAGAGTGACGATGGGTGAAACAAGGAACAGAAACACTAGAATCCTTCACTAGCCATTTATTCCCACTACAGCAACCTTCCAAGTGTTTTTTACCTACTTGTTGCCCACACTAATATCTCTCTCTCTCGAATGCCGATGAAGAGATGGGAAGCAGTGCTTACTCCATGTAAAAAGCATCGATCGAACATGAACTTATTGGATGCCATAATCAATCTAATGACGCTTTGGAAAATATTGAAATGGGTACTGAACCGTAACCTATTAAAACCCGATTTTTAGAAGATTGGCACAAATTTGCCTGCGAAGCTCTACTACCTTTTCCAAAAGTCTTGAAACAACATTTGCACGTCCACTTCCAACGTAGGCCATTGACATCATCGCTATTCCTGTGGACCGTAACATTGCATTGCTCTTGACATCAATCAATTGGGCTATGTAAGATTCGGCCTCATCTTGTCGTCCCTGAAAAGAGGTTCCTTGCAGTAGCCAAAAACCAATGCACTGCAGGCACAATTTTTACCGAAAAAGTAATGCTGATAGCCAGTAACCACTACGGACGAGATACTGCCCGTAAAAACTATCGCAGCACTGTCAAAAACTTTTTATCAGATTTTGAGCAAGGTTTGCTTCAAGGAAAGAAAGACGTGATTTTGAAACAATGACAATACTACATTTCTTATCCCTCAGACGGAGTAGGCGTGGCATCTGAGCATAGGCATAGGATGGGTTACTCTTGAGATATTTCAATTTGAAGCAACTCTCACCTTGTTCTTTGCTAGACAGAGACATGATCAAAATGACAATATCTCACTAAAACCGCAGCCGCTGCCACGCTGCCACTTTAGTTCAAGTCCGCAACCACGCCTCCCGCATCTCAGAGATTTCGAGTGTACACTCACGCATTCGTTTGTAATTCCAGAAGTGAAATCACCATTTCGTCTGGTAAGGTGAGATACTACAAAGGCAGCTTCGCTTATTGCGTATACAACTTCGCGCTAGGGCACATTTTCAATCACATGCGTATTTGAAAGTGAGGCTGCTATGAGGAGCTTAAGCAGTCAACAAAAAAAAATCTGTAAAACGGTCCCAGAGCACTCCGAGCACCATAAAAAAGGGTTGAGATCAGCGAGGTCACTGGTTGAGAAGTGTGGGACACACACGTTGCGAGGTGGGACCTGCACCAAGGCGGTTGGAGCCAGACGAAATATCTGTAAACGGTCCCAGAGCACTCCGAGCCCCAAAATGCGGGTTAAAATCAGCGAGGTCACTAGTTTAGAAATGTGGGACACATACATGGGGAAGCGCGGCGAGGTGGACGGAGCGAAGCTCCGAAATTCGTAGATCTACCCTACAACAGCTTCGAGACCAGGAAAAGTGAATGAAAGTGAGCAGTGGGTAGGGGAATGATGTGGAAGAGCCACATCCGGGGTAAGCAGTGCGGGCAGAATAATGGGCAGGACTAATGCTCAAAATTCGTTAATTGGCTAATAAGCACCCAAGAGAACGTGAGAAAATGGCAGCGTGCAGGAGAGCGGCTACTGAAATGAGAGGGAGGCTCTTCGTGGGCGGAGCATGCGCGGTTGGCGAGGCAAAACTAAGAGTTTGGGGATCGGGTGCTGAGCAGCACAGGCACTGGGAAAAAGCGGATAGAGGTCATCAAGGGAATAGTGGATGAAATGGGGGAACATCCTCAAAATGGGCGAGCCATGCTTGAGATAGGCGGTGTACTCCACTCCACCACTCCTGCATTCTCGCATGATTTAGCCTATGAGCGATTCTCGTCATCAGTGAACGAAGGGTGGCAACAGCTTGTCGAAATATCGATATTGGACGGATACCCCGAGAATGACTTCTTTCCAAAAATGAAATTACCCACATGAAACTTCTTCAACCAACATGCTCCCCTCTTTATTCTGATATTCACATCGGATATTTGATTCAGCATTTGAACAATCGTAAATATTGTCATTTAAGTGGGGTAGGTGTAGAGGTACACACCCACAACTCGTCTAGCAGACCAAAATTCGGATTTCCAACACTTTAATATTGCTCAGATGCAGTAAGGAGAGAATCTCTTCTTTCCCATGAAATTAAGCATATTACGCACAGAAGCTTTCAGAAAACCAATTAGCGTCCTGAATTTCTGACTACCCTAGCAGTGCTGCGACACTAGGAACTCATCAGAGGATTCCTCGCAATCACTGTAAAATCAAGTGTACAGGAACGCGTCAGCAACTGCCGGACTTACCATAGGCCAACAAGGAGATTCCTGTACGTAGTCCACGTTGAATCTTATCGTGTTGGGTGTCACAAGTATATTGCACCATGTCTTGGAATGCTGCAGAGTTCAAACTGCCAACCATCACCAAGCCCATCGCAAGACCTGCTGCTTCTCCCGAGACAGCATCATCCAAATAAAGGGCGTCACGAAGTTGCAGATATACCTGCAATGTCAGTGATAACAT